AGAACAAAAAAAAAACATATTTTTTTCAAATCCTCCCAAAAAAATAAATAATAATGTGGCCCTAATCCTCTTCCGTAGAGATACAAGTACTGCTACTATAAAACAAAACAAAAGTTATAAATGAATAAATAATTACAATTGAATAGAATTTAAACATAGATACCTGTAAAAAAGAAAAAGGTGAATAATAATAAACAAAATCATACAATGTTTTACAAGGAATAAAATAAAAGCCATTTTCTTCTCTGTAATCATTATTGTTTAGTTACACTGTACATAAATAGCTTCATACTGTACGGCATGTGTGTAGACCAAGGTGAGTGAGTGTTAGAGTGTGTGTTTGGTGTAAATGATAATTGTGTGTGTGTTTTCTGTGTCTGCAGGATGCTGAGAGAGCAGTGGATCAGAGCCAAGTACGAGAGGAACGAGTTTGAGTTTATCGAAAAGCAGGAGCCTTACTCTGCAGGTACTCACATGTTTGTATTATTGTGTTTCCTTAGCACAACTTAAATATATAATGACGACATGGGCATTAAAAGGGAAGTTAGCAGAGGATATTAATACCACTCTCATGTCTACATGTTAATTATGATCGTTTGGTTTTGGACCCATGGGCGTTTAGACCAATTGGACATTTTTCAGACTGTTATTGAACAATCGGCCGTCTCCAAATTTAGATTGCATTAAGAGAAAACCTTTAAACCACCTCTGGTCTAAGTTTAAGACTGAAGACAAGCAATATATCCTTTCCTTGTCTCCTTATGTGCATTTCTTTCATTATAAATGGAGACTCCTTGGTGTTTAAAAGGCGACTAAAGGGATAAGTGAGAGTCTCTTAAAGGGATATCACCCGAAAAAGGATCTTCAATCTAATCTTAGACACAGACTTTCTTTACTCTAATGCTCTCTTTTACATTCTCCTTATTAAAAGCCCATCTCCGCCATTGATTTCCTCTCTGTTCTTTCTCTGTGCGTGTGCGTGTGTGTGTGTGTGTGTGTGTGTGTGTGTGTGTGTGTGTGTGTGTGTGTGTGTGTGTGTGTGTGTGTGTGTGTGAGAGAGAGTCTCTGAGTGTGTGTGTGTGTGTGTGAGAGAGAGTCTCTGACATGATCCATTCACCTACACAGGCATTACCTCATGGATCAATAACCCTCCATGTCGCCTCCTTCCCTCACACTCTCCTCCTTCCTCCGATCCTTTGCATCCACGATCAATATTATTAACATTGGCCGCTGTGGACACACACACACACACACACACACACACACACACACACACACACACACACACACACACACACACACACCCCAAATGTCATGGCCCTCACAATGAGTTATGAAGAGAGCATACATGCACAAATAGAGATGACAGAATGACTCATATTATTAAACTCTGACAGTGTGTGTGTGTGTGTGTGTGTGTGTGTGTGTGTGTGTGTGTGTGTGTGTGTGTGTGTGTGTGTGTGTGTGTGTGTGTTTCCAATGTAACTACAAATGAATGATATCACCGCAAGCCAATCAGAAAGCTTCATCTGCAACAAGATGTGAAATGTATACTAGTTGACACACACACGCACGCACGCACACACACACACACACACACACACACACACACACTGTTTTAATGCTCTATATACTCTCAGGCAGTGACAGTCTGCCTGTGTCTGAAACGCAACAACATGTTCAGGATAATTGAACTCCATCTTCTCCATTCCACCGGGAAATGTTTGTCCGCTAGCTTTCCAAGGTTCTGCTTATCGAAGGGTGAACAACGCATAAAAGATCGACCATTATTGCTCTATTTTAAAACACTTGGCATATGAGGGTATGCTTGAAACTTTACGAGTGTTTGTGTCGACTAACAGCAGACACAACAGAACTTGGAGCCACTTAAATAATAATGTATTTCACCACGTCATCATTCAGGACAAACTAACTCCCCTCTCATCCCTTACGTCTCATTTTAAGTGCAAACCAAAATTGTTGCTCGTTTTAAAACACTCTGAATCACATCATCGGTCTAATGGCTAAAGTGTCAAATGAGTCACTTCTTAAACCTCGAAAATAGATCCAGATTAGAAAGAAAAACACATCACACACAGCGTGACTGAAATAGATGAGAACAGACAGAAAGGGGGGCGGTGTCGGCCGAGCCTTTCACCAAGAATAGAAGACATTAAAGGTTATAAATAGATAGTGTTTTGGTCTTTAGAGACGGTCATTTATTTATATTTCCTGCTAAATTCTCTCGTCTGTTTGCCTCCTGGATGTTGTTCCTTTTCATCGTCCTCTCCTAAATGTGATTTCAAACGATTCCTGCTCTCACCTTACACCGCCGTTTACATCCCTCCATTACTCTGTTTTAATCTCCTGTTTCCCGTAACAACCTCAGACTGTTTTTGTACTCTCTGCTCAGGGTACAGAGAGGGTTTTCTGTGGAAACGAGGACGAGACAACGGTCAGTTCCTCAGCCGAAAGTTCATCCTGTCGGAGAGGGAGGGGGCGCTGAAGTACTTCAACAAGCAGGACGTAAGAAGGCAACCCGGTCTCATAAAAAAACGTGTAATAACTGCGTTGGTCCACAACGTAGGACGTAGTATTTCTACAAAAACGCCTCTGAAATTGTAAGATCCCTACGTTTTTTTTCACCATTCATTCCAATGGCTGGCGTCTATGTCACGTGATCTTCAAATTTCTCCCTGCAGAAAAAAAAACATGGCCGACATTCGTTTTATTCTCGGTGGAAAATGCCTATTTTAAAGTTAGTTTGGCCATTAAAATGCGTTTTGATGTCATTTGATGCGAGAACTATGAGTTGTTATTTCAGATTATGTGTGCAGTGGATGTACATGATCTTTAGTTTGCTAGTTATTACGAAGATTACTTCAGGAAATTGTGTCCATTCAACGTTTTCATTGTTACCAAGGTGGTTGCTAGGGACGCTGCTATCGATATTATTTCTGTTATGTTGTGTAACTGTTTAATGGTGTTATCTTTATTGCTACCCCTTCCCCGTCAATTTATAGTGTTGGTCCACAGCGCAAACGTATTAGTTTAACAAAATCCGCATCTAAAATTGTGGCATATACGTTATTTTCCCTTGTGCAATTCCAGTCTCACATGTCACATCTCACATCACATCGTCATAAACAAATACCGGAAACAGACCGAAAACACTTTATTCCGAGTGTG